ATATATATATATATATATATATATTATTGATTATGTATTACATACTGATTATACATTTTGCGTATGACATAGCAAGCTTGCTGTTAAGTGCGTAAATACACTAAAATGTATCATACATATGTAGAATGCGATGTATGAAAACCTGAATGAAATATAAAAACTATCTAAAAAAGATCACATGAATTTATAAATGTAAATAAGATAAAGTAAGAAATGTGTGTGTGTGTGTATTAACATTATATTAACTATGCCGTGCGCAGCATGGCATGATTATCTCATAAAATTATTTTCAACATGTTTAACAGTAATCAAGAAACTAAGCCCAAACTCGCAGAGTTGAGTCCCAGCTTCCAGTAGACAGAGCAGTTCCGTCCGGAGAAATCCTTAGACACGAAACTCGATTTTCATGACCATATAACAGCGCTACTCGTTGACATTTTAATGTGTCCCATACGTTCACCGAATAATCGTTGTATCCGGCGAAAAGCAAGCGCCCACTTATACTGAGATCAACCGCATTTGCTCCAAATATTATACTCTCTTTTGCATATACTGCAACTTCTCTATCAGCACGCAAATCAAACAAGCGGCAAGTAGCATCATCCGAGCCTGTTACTACAGCGTCGCCCCCAGGATGAAATCTCACCTGTGTGCACGAAATATAATATATTATTATATACGCAAAACATTAATTGATAGCACAATTCTTGTTCTTTGGTATATACGTACCGAATTAACGTCGGACTGATGTCCTTCAAAACTTTGCACACATTGCCCACTGCGCATATCCCAGATCAAGACCAATTTGTCGCAACCACCTGACACAAACGTATTCCCGGTTTCACTTGGCGCTAAATCGATGGACATAACATCACTGGAATGACCTTGGAAACTCTGTAACAATTGTCCGCTCTCTACATCCCACAATCCGCATGTGCTGTCTCCGCTGCCTGTTAATATCTGTTGATCACTGTTTGGAAATGCACAGCAGGACATATAGGACGTGTGAGTGCCGACAGTTCTTTTGTGAGTTGAGACATCATCTTCCAGACTTAATGGATATACCGTAACTTTGTTATCTAGACCGCTACAATATATAAAAAAAAAACGAGTAAGTAATAATAATTTCCTATAATTTAATATATCTTTTTCATTTGCATCTGTTATTGTAATATCTATTGTATGAAACGAATTATATTTACCCGCATGCAACTAAGGTACCGCTAGGACCATAAGCGCATGCCATCACCCATGTAGTAGGCATGCTAACAGCGTGTTCTTTATTTGTTGTGAAAGCATCCCATATGATCATTCTTCCATCCTAAAAAAAAAAAAGAAACAACATATTAATTTTATTACGTAACAAGCTAAGATCACAAGATTAGAAATGGGCTATTGTCTACCTGTGAGGAAGAAACGATATGACGCTTATCAGGAGACCAATCTGAGCATAGAACCTTAGCTTGATGTCCTTTTAAAATACGTCTGAGCTTCACATTTATACAATTAATTGCTTCAAGCCTATCTGCTACACTAGCAACTGTAAAAAATAATATATACAAGATAAATTTAAGACATAAATATAGCATATACAAAATATAAAATATTATATAAACACATTTTTTTAATCACAAAAGCTTTGATAATAATTACGTGTGATATCATTCAACTTTTGTCGTTCATCCTCTAAACGTATCTTTAAGCTTTCCGCTTCTTTCGCCAACTTTTCTATGTGTTCCAGTTCTGTTGCAGAGTTCATACTGTCTCACTTTTAGTCGACAATTTCTTCTTTGACATATAATAAAGAATTTGTCATAAACAGAGAGAATTCTTCTCATACGTGTACAAGTATAAATGTGAGGATTATCAGAATTTATATACGTACATGCATATATATATATATATTATACACACACACACACACGCATTACTTTAATGCGTGTACATTTATACATACATTTTACAAATTTGAGATAAAACAGTTGAAGACACAGTTGATTGTTACTTGTGTCACATTGGAATGCTTCAGAATTCTATTTTTGCAAGCAAAACGAAATGGAGAGCCCTCGAATTCCCGCAAATGTTTCGGTTCCAATATCTCTTATTTACAGTCATTGCGAACGATTTTCCACGTCATTTTTCTTGCCGCTGCGTTCGCTCTTCTCTTTTATTTTTTTTATGTGCGTTTATTTTCAAGCGAGAGCGAGATCTCGCCAACACGCGCTAGAACGAGGATAATCGATACGACGCGAATTGACATGAGACGAAGCAACCACCAAAAGCACCTGATATGCTTGACAAGGCGCCGCCGGTCGGCGCCGATGCACTGCGAGCGGCTGAATTACCCTTCTCTGGTCACATCTGCTGGTTTAAAAGGCTTGTTGAACACATCGTTTAAAATGATCACTCTTTAAATTCAGTAAGACAGTTTTTTTTTATTGTGTATATTTATTAAAATAAAAACTGCAATCTGACACTTGCGTGTATTGGATATATACTCGGGAATTTTTTTTTGTTGTTTCTTATACATAGAATTACATTATTTAGTACTTCTAGGTACTCGTCAACATCAATAAAACTTAGATTTTTATGTGTACATTAATGTATATCATGTTAATAGTCGCACGCAAATTTGTTTATTGATTTGTGCAATTGAATATTTGTTGCGCTTGTAACACGCATTCCAATTTCCCGCTTTCCAACGCTACGACACATTGCGCAGACATGTTTCTCTCTGTGACGTACAGAATTTGAGGAAGTAATATCAAAACGCAAGTAGAAAATTAGTTTTTTTTTTTTTTTTTACTTCTTACATTGTATAACGTACTAAATGCGCGTGGTAAAATAACGAACAACGAAATTCGAAATAATTTGCGAGTTTATATTTGCGATGTGATGTCGCTGAGATAAATCAATGTGTCTACTCGACAATGTGCGCACGACAAGTCGCGCAGATTTGGGAATTGCAGAGAGGGGGCATCACCGACACCACTACGACATTTCCCTCTCGTTCCTTGCTCCACTGTACTCGATCGATCATCTTGTCGTTTTTAACCGTTCTCCGTTCAGTGCACTGAAAAATGGCACTTCTATCGCTACGCTTGGCCTCGTCTCTGGCCAGACATCTGCCAAATACCACCGCGCAGGTAATTAAGAAAAAGAAAAGGAAAATTTTCTCATGAAAATACTTTGTCACACATGAAGTGTTCCTACACATCGGGTGGAACGTGCCGACATTTTTCACTGTGGTCATTTATCTTCGACAATTTATCTGCTTACGTACGAAAGTCAGACTATAAACAAAAAAGCCATAGAGCAAGTATTGCAATTCATAAATCATTTGATTCCTAAAAGAATTCAGTCGATGCGTTCGAAACGTCAATATATAGTGTATAATATTACATAAAGTGTTGAGGGGGAGCGACCAGTTATGTAATGAATTTTGGCAGAAAACATTTTGACTTTGATTGTATGTATTTATTTATTGTATTCACATTTGCAGATCAATTGGCCTGCAACTGTTGTAGCTTCCCGCAAATATCATGTCTCCTGCAGTCGGCGTTTAGCAGAAATCTCTGCCATCCTGGAAGAACGTATTCTTGGATCAACGCCTAAGGTAAAGCAACCTTGTCAAGGTATAATATTACTTAAGATTCAAGTTACTTAATCGAATATTGTTATTAACAGTCTTATAAATTCTATTTCTACTTTGTAATGTAAAATGTTTTGCTTTTTTTTTTTTAAAGAGGATTATAGTTTATAAAAAAAATATTGTAACAAAGATTTTTTATAGGCCAATCTTGAAGAGACCGGCAGAGTGCTCAGTATTGGAGATGGTATCGCTCGTGTCTACGGGCTGAAGAATATCCAAGCTGATGAGATGGTAGAGTTCAGCTCTGGCTTGAAGGGTATGGCGTTGAATTTGGAACCTGACAATGTGGGTGTTGTAGTATTTGGTAATGACAGACACATCAAAGAAGGCGATATTGTAAAACGTACTGGCGCAATTGTTGATGTTCCTGTTGGTGAGGAACTGTTAGGCCGGGTTGTTGATGCTCTGGGTAATCCTATCGATGGTAAAGGACCTTTGAATAGCAAATTGAGGTTCCGTATTGGAACAAAAGCTCCCGGCATTATTCCCAGGTAGTTATGGCAATGTTTTATTTTATACGTATATATATTTAGAGTGTGCACTATATTATATAATCTTTTAACAGAGTATCAGTGCGGGAACCTATGCAAACTGGAATTAAAGCTGTAGATTCTTTGGTGCCTATTGGTCGTGGTCAACGTGAACTGATTATCGGAGACAGGCAAACGGGAAAAACTGCTCTTGCCATTGATACCATCATCAACCAGAAGCGTTTCAATAGCGCTGGAGAAGAGAAAAAGAAATTGTACTGCATTTACGTCGCGATTGGTCAAAAGAGATCCACCGTCGCACAAATCGTCAAACGTTTAACTGACAGTGGTGCTATTAATTATACTATTATTGTATCTGCAACTGCCTCCGACGCAGCTCCACTGCAATACCTAGCCCCATATTCCGGATGTGCTATGGGAGAATTCTTTAGGGACAATGGAAAACACGCTTTGATCATTTATGACGATTTGTCTAAGCAAGCTGTTGCCTATCGCCAAATGTCTCTATTGCTCAGAAGACCACCAGGTCGTGAAGCTTATCCTGGTGATGTATTTTATCTACATTCTCGTCTGCTTGAGAGAGCAGCCAAGATGAACGAAAACTTGGGCGGTGGATCATTGACTGCTTTGCCCGTTATTGAAACACAAGCCGGTGACGTGTCCGCCTATATCCCTACGAATGTCATTTCCATTACCGATGGTCAAATCTTCTTGGAAACTGAATTGTTCTACAAAGGTATTCGGCCTGCTATCAACGTAGGTTTATCTGTATCACGTGTCGGATCCGCTGCTCAAACCAAAGCTATGAAACAGGTATTATACATGTTTTTTTTTTAATATATCTAATTATATCACAATATTGAATATTATGTAATCTCAAGTTATGGAATATTAATATTTTATAAATGCATTTTCGATGTTTTATAGGTGGCCGGTTCTATGAAACTGGAATTGGCCCAATATCGTGAAGTAGCAGCTTTTGCTCAGTTCGGTTCCGACTTGGACGCCGCGACCCAACAGTTGTTGAATCGCGGTGTGAGATTAACAGAGTTGCTTAAACAAGGACAATACGGTATAATCACAATTTTCATATTAATTTTCCTTGTGACATATATAAATGTACACGTTGCAATATTTGATATATATTTTTGTTTTTAGTACCCATGGCTATTGAAGAGCAAGTAGCAGTCATATACTGCGGTGTACGTGGTTATCTTGACAAAATGGAACCTACAAAGATCACCGCGTTCGAGAAAGAATTCCTTGCACACATCAGGTATGGTTTCTTATAGTACGTAATTGATATAAAATTACAACCCCATGCACTTTTGTTTTTACTTGTGATATTTTTTCTCAGGTCTACTCAACAAGATCTTCTTGCAACGATCGCGAAAGAAAATTTGATCAGTGAAGCATCGGACGCAAAATTGAAGAAAGTAGTTACCGACTTCCTCTCATCTTTCTCATAGAAAGCGATTATTTAAATGTTCATACTGTTATTAAGTCAACATAGATAATTGGAGAAAAAAATATTCTTCAAGAAAAATTGTTCTGCTGATGAGAATTGACAATGTACCGATATTGTATACTATTATATAAATCTCACATAATGCTATGAAATTTTATGCAATATCTGTACATTAGAAAATATTGCAGCAATTCCACATGATCTAAAAAAAAAAAAAACGATAAACTCGATAGCCATATACGTGTAACATATATGTATGACATATATGTAACATCTTATACACAAAAAATCGATCTTTAATAAAAATAAACTTACTGATGTTTCGAAAATATATGCGTATTATTCCTGTCTGAGTTTCAACAATGAATGCGTTAAAAATTTTTTGTAATTTAAAACAAAGTATAAAGGAACATGTATTAATTTTTACTTTTATTTTTTGTTCTGTACAAGTTTTATATTAAATTAATTCTAATTTAATTAACTTGTTTTGCTAATGCCGTATATGTACGTATATGCTTTATTAACTTGTGCAGATTTCTTGATTCACACAGAATCTTGAATAACAATCTAGAAAGACTCAAATATATGTACTCTTACTTTATATACATATATAGACAAATAATTTCAATCAAATTTCATTTTGTCTAATACAAATCATTTATATGCATAATATATACATATGTATTGCACTATTTAAAACAAGTAATGGTTATAAAACTTACATAATATAATTTTTATAAAAATTTGAATTCAACTGAGAAATCTTATAGACATTTTTTGTTCCACATCTGAACGTTCCAATGCTTTACAAAATTCTTCAAATGATATCATACCATCTCCATTTTCATCAGCTTCCACTATTGTCCTCTCTGCAATGCTAGTTAACTGTTCCTCACTGCACAACACACACATAAAGTAGATACTTATATTTTAAAAATATATAAATTTTATTACAATTGCAGAAATTGTTAATTTATAAAATATTAGAGAAAAGTAAAAACTATAAAAAATATTACCTGATATTGGCACCAACCATCATATGCAAGATAGCGAGGAGTTCTTCCTTAGAAATCAAATCGTCGTTGTCCAAGTCATACATTTTAAATGCAACTGAAACATTTAATATATGTGTAGCAATATCAAATATTTAAAATATTCAAAAGAAAAAAATGTTTTTTTTTTTAAAACTTATATATAATATCTGATACTATATATATGTTTACATTTTAACTTTTGCTGTCTAGAGTTTAATCGATTAGGACTATTCTTTTTAATAGGTCTGAAGCGGGCCAAGACTTGCATAAACTGTAAAAAGTTTACTCTATCGTTGCCACTTTCTTCGAAAAAAGCATTCACTATTCTTTCACCAAGCGGATTTATAGCCAATTCCGGGATTCGAAGAAAATCCTCTCGACTGAGCGTTCCGCAATCTCCACGATCCAGACTTGTGAAACGACTGTACAGTCGTTCAATTTGATTTGGCGTAACTGTTAGTCAACAAAAACCATATTCACACATCTTATTAAAATACTTCTATTTATACAGATAATCGCTGCCAAGATTTGTACGGAGATTAATCACAGAATATAAATAAAGTAATGGAATACTCACAACCAGTAGCATTTTGTATCTGCGCTATTTCGTCTTCACGCAGAAGAAGACTCGATCTGTTACCCATTTTTCTCGACAATCGAAAAGTAAGTACCAATTCGCTTGTGACGATCTCTCGAGCTGTTCTTTATAATAATATACTTGAACGAAATACGTAAAAATAGTTTTCTTTCTTTTTCACTCTATTGATTCCTGATTGCAAAAACTATTGTCCATACGACAGCCACTTTGATTTGTTAGGCCTTTTGATGTGTCACGGTGTACTTTCTGCATTTAAAAAACGATAATACATGCAAATACTTTACATATATACATATATGTATGTAGTTTTTAAAAATTTATATCAGAGAGGAACAAAGTTCAGAAACAGACACAGATCGAGAAAGGCGCATTTGATAATGTGTTGAACACTCGCTAATAAGTCACATGACTCTCTGACTGTTGATATATGATCACTCACAGACCTTGCACAACGGTCAATTGAAAATATTTGAGATGATTTATAATAGGTGTCACGTTGACAAAACCCAAAACATAAGTTTTGTACATAACAAAGATACAGAGAATTCGATCAATCGATCATCTTCGCGATAACCACTGGTCGATTCTGCGAATAAATTAATCTATTAAATTAATATGTATATAGTAGTTCACACTCACGTTGAATACAAACGAAGAGCAGCCATCACTTTGGACAATTTTGGACAAACTGGTGCGCGGATCGGTAGATGTCTCTATGTGTCTCTTGTTGTTTTTTTAATACATATGGTTTGTGATATAAATTTGTGATATTGAATGTAGATACCCTACTATACGACGCTGTTCTCAATTTTTTGATTTGTGCGTGCGCTTATACTTTTTGTCTTATTACACGTTATCCAATTATTCAGTGATACGTGAATTCATTTATCATATATATAAATAACGTCGCTTTTACAATTTAATATTTATCTTTGAATCGGAGATGTAAGTGATGTCTTAAAATCAGAATATTTGGAATTCTATATAGTTATGCTTGTGTTATCGTAGGGTTACGTATCTTTTACACATGGCGTAAAAAGAAAAACGCAAAAGTGCTTGATTTTCTTAAAAGTAATTGTTGTTCGCTATAAACTTACTAATATGTTTGTTAACTTTCGTTTTCTCTGATAATACCGGCAGTCTTATCTCACGTATGTGAGAACGCATGTGAATGTGCGTGGATGTTGTTACATGTGTAGTACGCGCAAGCGCGCGCTTTTACATACATATACGTTTACGTTACACAAACGCACTCAGCTGTGGTTTCGTCTCTTCGAATAGGCCGAAAAGCTGGTAATGGGAGAAAGAAATTGGAAAGATTGGAGACCTTTCGTATATGGAGGTTTAGCTTCAATCATCGCGGAACTGTGTAAGTAAATAATTTAAATGTTATGTTATTTTTTTAAAGAATTTTTTTAGATTATACGTATAGAAAGTACTGTGTAAAATTGTATATCTCATAATTTTTATAAAATTTTGATTTTATTAGGTACATTTCCTTTAGATACCACAAAAACACGTCTGCAGGTACAGGGTCAAAAGTATGATCAGAAGCTTGCACGTTTAAAATACACTGGCATGATTGATGCTTTATTACAAATATCTCAGCAAGAAGGAATAAAAGGATTGTATTCAGGGTAAATATATATATAATCATTTTATGAGCATAGAAAGTAACATGTTGTTTAAGAATAGACCATAGAAATATCTTGAAGAATCACCAGATTTTTTAATAGATCATAAATTATTAATTTGTTTTTATTATTCAGGATTAGTTCTGCCATTTTACGGCAAGCAACCTACGGAACTATAAAGTTTGGAACATATTATTCCCTCAAAAAAATTGTAACTGACACGTGGGCAACTGGCGATTTAGTCACAATAAACATTGTTTGTGCAGCATTAGCTGGAGCTTTGTCAAGTGCAATTGCCAATCCTACCGATGTGGTAAAAGTTCGTATGCAAGTTACTGGCAACGAAACAAACATGTCACTGCTTTCTATTTTCCAAGATGTATACAGATATGAGGGTATTCGTGGACTTTGGAGGGTAATGACTATTTTTTGACATATTATTTTATATATTCGATTTCTCTGAGATTGTGTACTTTGATATGACATGCACACAAACCTCATAAATATTTAAGAAATTTATGGCAAGAAATATGATTAATCAACCATAATAGCTATTTTTGCTAAACACTCCGCATGTTTAAAGTTTATTATTCAACTTATCATAATTTCATTGTAAATATTGTTTTCAAGATTGACGATTTTTGAAATTTAGAAAAAAATTATTATTATTAACACATGTAAGAGTTTTCTGTTATATGTACAAAGATGTAATAACTGAAATTAATCGCGAGTTATGTCAAAGTTTTATTATATAAAACATTTTTTTAAAGTTATTAATCATCTGGAAAGTTTTGATAATAAATATTGAAAAAAATAACAAGTGCCATATTAAATACAAAAATGTTTTTTTTTCTTGTTAATGTTTTACATAGGGTGTTGGGCCGACTGCTCAACGGGCAGCTATTATCGCGGCCGTAGAATTACCTATATATGATTATACCAAGAGTAAGTGTTTGAGTGTATTGGGAGACAGCGTTAGTAATCATTTTGTGTAAGTTTTTCCTTTTCTCTAAACGTATATATTAACACTAAAACATGTTTACTGCTGCAGTAAACTAATTTTAAATCTGTGATATTGCCAGCGCTTGTGTGCTTTTTGTTTTAGAAAAAATTATTATCACACACAGATACTCGAATATTTCATATGTGTGATCGCAACATATAACATTTTAAAAATACATTCAGATTTTTATCTCAATATATCAATTATGTTATTCATTGTCGATGTTGATTAACCCTTATCCAGTTTAGATCCAGTTTAGGTTGTTTCTACAAAAATCGAAAATCTCTCGTCGTCGATCTGCAACGTGAAATACAATACGATCTTTTATCTATAATTTTATGCTTGTTATTCATATAAATTTCCAAAATATAATTGCGCGAATAAAATTCTGTAAAATATTCCGTATATAGTTTGTGCAATTATTAAGAGAAGATAGAGTATAAAACTCTTAAATTTTAAACGTTTTATTTCCAGGTCCTTTTGACATTATCGTGCGTACGAGCATATGCGATAGACGGATTTTGTGATGACCAGAGAGGCTTGACACGGAAGGTGTGTTCAGCACTCTGTCTCTAATATAAGAATTCTTAAAACAAATAATTGTTCGATCGATTACATGTATTTATTCTTCGCAGAGGTTGCTTGAGTTGCAGTTTTGTGTTCTAAGAGCTTTTGAAAATTCTGAATTACTAACCATAAACGCGCGCCTCAAAAAACTTTCTGTAATTCGTTCATTGTATGGACCAAATTTTGCTTCATTTATTGTTTCATATCTGTGCTTGAAATTTATATATTTGATGTTTTTCTTTCATCAAAATATATAAGTGCGAACATGATGTTGCTTTTTCTTTATGTCTGGATAAGGGTTAATAGTTTTGTAAACTTACAATGTGTAATATAACTTTTGATACATTATAATGCACATTTAAACTGTGCTATATAAGTACGTGCTAACAATTATAATTTCCATTATATCTTTTAGATCGAGTTTCGTTGCTAGCATGGGAAGTGCTGTAGCTTCAACACCTATAGATGTTATTCGTGTAAGTAGATTGTGTCTATGTAAGTAGACGTTTAACACAACATAATAATTTTTATTTATTTTCTTTAACATCTAATTTTCTTTAGACACGACTGATGAATCAAAGGAGAGTATGCGTTGTTACTAGTAAACCTATGTCACACATATACAGTGGCAGTATGGATTGTTTAGTTCAGGTAAAAGAAAATCCAATTTATATTCTGTTATATTTTGTCCGTTAATTTTGACGTCGATTAATTTTTCGTTCTATGTCTTTAACCATTATAAATGTAAAAATATCGCATTTATGTCCCACACAGAGGACATCATTGAGTTTATATAAGAAAAATAATTGTTTCTCTTTTTTTCTTTCATATAGACAATTAAAAATGAAGGAGTCTTAGCATTGTATAAAGGTTTTGTCCCGACGTGGTTTAGAATGGGACCGTGGAATATTATATTTTTTATCACTTATGAACAGTTGAAACAAGTGGACCGTACGTGATGTATCGACAGGTATTTACGTGAAAAACACTAAAATTCTCATAAAAAAAAAAAACAAAAAAAAAACAAATCTAATTTAATGTAAATACTGTTATATTGCGCATTTGATGTTTCTGATAATCTCAGTTGTGTGCAAGTCGTTCAATGAAAGCGATGTGTGTTTAGTAGTTATCATAAAATATATATGAACAAATAGCGTATATGAACAAATTACTTTTGAAAAAAGTAATGTGTGATTGTAAAAAAGAAAGTAATCAGAAAGGTCCAAAAACTTCCTAAGGTACAAACTTCCATAAAGTGCTTTTAGTTGATATAATTACATGTAGAATTTACATACACCGACTTTTATTACAGGCTTCATAGACTCCTTTTATTATTCTTTCAAAAAATTTTTTGTATATTTATATATATATACATATAATGAACATTCTGTAAAATAGTAAAATTATGTCCAAGTTTTTTGTGCTTGGTTTGTCTCAGTGTCTCTTCTAACAATACTAGTCGTTATCTGCGTGTGAATATAATATTAAATGATTTTCAATACTTGGTAATGTCTGTTCACTTCTGATAGTATTACTTTTTATTTTTTTCTCTTGATCATATTTCATGATCTAGTCATTCTTAAAATGATGAGTATATATCCTATACTCTAAATTTATGTTTAAAAAACTGATTATCACCAGTTGTGATAAAATTGGTCAAACAATGCAGTCGCTAAAATCTATCTCAGCGACCAATTAAATTCAATTAAATTTTTAATCTATGTACGTGTATCATATGTTACAAATGTTAGACACAAATCAAATTTTAATTTTATTAACGCAAAAATTATGCAAATTAACGTAGTTTAAATACGTATACAAGTCTAATTTTGTTTATTTATTTACTATTTTTTTAAATAACATATTTAATCAAAATGTACATGTACAAAAAAATGTTTATTTGTGTATTTAATATTTATTGTTCTTAATTTAAAACAACGCATCTATATATGTTACAAAATACTCATTTTATGAGTTTAAATAATGTAAAAAAATTCTAATATATATATAACGTATAGAATATATATAACGTATATAACATAACATATAATATATTAAATACAATGATGTTTTATACAATAGTTTTTATCACATTATGAAATTACAATCTTTCCTAACATGTTCTGTGCCACATGAGTTGCATACAAACTTTCCGTTCCAAACTGTTTGATACTTTCGCTATTGAATGTAACTACTTGTTACTTTTTTTAACATTTATATCATAAAATACGTAAATAACAAGAACTTAATAAATTTTTGCTTTGCTATTTTAAATGTTATCTCTTGTTTGTATCAATAATAATTATTATTATACTTTTAATAAATATTACAAGGTATCTCTATGGTGTAAGTAAACTTTTTTGACTACGTGTGTACATATGCGAATCACGCAGTATGAACGGAAAGTCACCGACGCTCTACTCGACACACAACGGATTAAAATAGGAAGACTGACACAACATAGCTTATAGAAAATGTATCATTTCGCAAAACAGCGAAATGTATATAACTCTACATATCATTATAGTATAAATAGTCAAATGAAGAAACTCACTTTTTTCTGTTTTTCCCTGGAATACAAAAGTTGTACAGGAATTGAGAAATTTGTGATAAAGGTCTCCGTTACTTATTCTATGTACAAATTCCGATTATTCTCTAATGTAACAAAAGAATAATAAAAATACTATGTTACTAAATAGAATTTCGTTTAGGCCTATATCTCTGCATTATCACGCGCAGTTTTTTTTTTTTTTATACACTAATTGCGATCACTCGTAATACTGTATCATTGACCTTGACATTCCCACACAATGACTTTTCGGTCTTTTCCACCTGTTATTATCAAATTACTATCAGTTGCTAGGGTTAAGGCACAAAGAGACCCTGAAAAAAATAAATATACAAAAAAAACGATTAGTATTGTATTTGTTTCAACACTCGTTTATATATAAAATAAAAACAAATTATATCAAATTAAACGGCATTAATAATGGCAATAATAATCAGCTACTTTATTTATTGCTGTGAGCGGCAAATATCACGATATTATAAATGCACGTATTATTCACAAATTGTGCAACAATAATATAAATTTACCATCGTGGCAATGTATTTGTGAAACAAATACAGCCTTCTGATGATTCCATATGTTCAGATTCCCGTTATCATCGCCTATCAACAGGAACATATCCATCCACGTTAACGTCAACGGTACGGTTTCCAAGTTAACGGAATATATTTGTGTACTCGTTCGAACGTCTATTATATTAAATACTTTGTCTTCCGCACATGATATCACGCTGTCACCCTGTTTATCGAATGTTATCGCGTTTATCTTGCATGTATGACCTTCAAATAACAATATCAATGAGTAAAAATGATTAAAAACCGTGTATTATATATTGCAAAAAAGAGATTTTTGTCGGATATATTTATATAAAATAATAAAATGTGCGAAAGATGCACACCTTTGATAGTGGATTGCAAGTTGTAACTATCCATGCCCCACAAACACAGTTCTCCGTCTTCCGTACCGGACACTAACATAGTGTCGTCTCTGCAATTAACGTAAGGATTATTTATTCAGATTAGAAAAAATTTGTATATATTTTTAACTTTTTCACAACTTACTTCGATATGTTAATGCAAGTTATTTTAGAATCGTGATCTAATTGAGCGATAAAGTACTCCGCAGGCTTAATTTTCGATCCGGAAGTATATCCGCGCCAAACTTTTGCGGTGCAATCCCATGATCCCGATATAATGACCTGATGAGTGGCGCTCCATGCTAAACACGATACCGCGTCCTCGTGTCCTTGCAGAACGTCGATTACTCTACCAAATTCGATATCATAAAATATCCTGAAAGAAAATAATGTAATCTAGGTCAATTGCGAAACAAAAATACGTTATTTAATTATATTTGCAAAAACTTAGATATATTATACAATTTTAGTTTTTATTAATGTATTTAAATAACACTTTAGATTTATAGGCTCGCAAATGATTTTGATCACGTTTATTTGTGATATCGTTAACGTTTGCTCTCGCGCGTATTTCTCTATATATTTTTCCGTCATAACTGTGCACTTGATCCGCACTTACAATGTATTGTCCCACGATCCTGCCACGAGAATGTTCCGTTGTGACGGTGTGTAATACGAGATGCAAGACGATAGTGACAAAGAGGATAAGATAACGCTACGTGTTAATTTTCTTTCGCTTATATCGTACAGCTTTAGTGTTCCATCTTGTCCTACTGATATGATTTCGTTGCTTGTATTTTTTTGCACGATACTTCTCACACAGTCTTTATGCGCTTGAAATACTATTAGTTCTTTGAGATGAAATGAATCTTCTTTTACGTATGCATTGTCTGAAAAATTTATATACAAATTATATGTACATATAAATATATTATATGTGAAAATAATTACATACATATATACGTATATAAGAAACTACGAAAAAATGTAAAAGACGAATACCTGAAGACATAGTTTCTGGTGAAGCCAATAATGTTTCACTGTATAATAAATTTGAAACCGATGTCGAACGCTTTGGATGAGGTAGAGTGAAGACTTGCTTCGGTATCTGACCGAATTCCATAATTTGGACTTCGAGTCCGTGTCTATCGTTTATGTCTCGTATGGTATCTAAATCCACCGCTCCTTCGTAACACAAATGGAAAAATACTGCAATAAAAGTAACAATGTTAAAAAATATCTTTTATAAGTAATATATATATAAAATATATTTTATCAAGTAATTCAATTTAATTATGTTTTAATTACATTTTAACACATAAAAAAGCGGATTTTTACCATTATCAGCCTTTTCGGCTTCAATTCCTCTTTGTTTGTATCCGAAAATTAAATCAATCCAATGATGAAGATTTTGAGAAACATAATCACTTTCTAAGGCATTTCTCAGTTGTTGTACAAAATCAGATGGTCCTGAAGTGTATATAAACCAACGATATATATATATATATATATTTAATACATTGACTCTTATTTTGTTTATGCATATATATGTACACACAATTTTAACCAATAATTTAAAAAATAAGAAACAAACGACTCCCTTATATTACCGTTCGCCCAAGGAGGAAGTTGTACGTCGCCTATTTTTGTACCGTCATGTCTATAGCCAAAATCGATACCATAACTATTTATTAGAAAATCACCACCGTTGCTAATGTCATAAAACTCTGGTATCAGTTCTTTAAAGTCAGACATATTCACCAAAACATTTTTCCACACGTCAGCTACACTGTTAGGTGTTTTTGTGTTGGTAAAAGTGAAACATAAAATTGTTTCTGCACATGATAGAGTAATTACTTTATGATGTAAGATACGATAACGTAAGTAATGTACTTTTATACGTGACATTTATAGTATTTTGTCTTTTTTTCGCGAGAGAAATGTGTAATATCTCTCTTTCAAAAAAAAAAAAAATAATAATAAAGAAATCTTTTTTTATATTCGATTTTCTTCGTTTATTCAGAGCCGTTGAAGATTAAAAAAAAATAAAAAATAAATAAATGAACAAGTGAAACAAAATATATGATATGTACCTGTTGAACATTCTGTCTGGATGATCAAATCTTCCGTTCTGTAAGCAGAGCATATATTGAGGATATTTTCGTACTAAATAAAATAACACAAATCCTGGTGCGCTGTAATGAGAACCATATAAAAACTTTGGGTCGGACATTTCCAGATATCGTTCCTGCAAACGAATTTAAGACGTTTTATACATTAAATCAATGTTATATATATATGTATTAATAATAATATATTAGATATCTATAAAAATCTTATGTACATACTTTTAGTTTTTCCAGACGGGTAGGATTTAATGCACCGATAGGTTTCGAGAGATCTCTATAAACACTGATATCATTCAAATCTAAAGTCGCAGAAGTATAGTCTTGTATGATCCAAGGAAATACTGGATATTGCGTCAAATCATGAAACGTTCTATCTGCCAAACTAAGATATAATGTAATATAAATAAAATTATAAATCTTTTTTAAAAATAATGCCTTTTATACCAACAACAATCAACTCGAAATTAATATAAATTACCTATTTACGTATAAAATATAATCATAATTCGATAAATATCCGTTCTGCCATCTTATTGTCATTTGATTCGGAGGTACAGTTTCTAGAGACACTGCCGATTGTTCAAGCAAATTGTCGTATAGCTTGTCTCGATCGTCGTGATTTTGAAACGACAGAAATAAATGTTCGGTTTTACTGTCAGTTTGTCGCGTCGACTTTATTTCAAGACCCTGTAAACAGATTAATAAGAAGTGAATAGATCACAAGTGTCAATGTGTTTTTATAATGAGGTTTGCTAAGTGTTAGAATTTCATAAAAATTACAATATAGAAAGAATAATGAAGATGTTGAAATATTTACCACTTGTCGCAACAGAAATCTCCTCTTTATAATGTTCAGTATATCTTTCAGATGAATCTTGAGCACAGGATGCTGAAAATTTAACATTGATTTAAATTGAAGATATGTTCTTTTATGTTACACATAAAAACAATGACAACAAACATTTGTAATATCATATCACAAAGTGACAATTACCTGATCCATATTATTGTAAGGTTGAAAATAAATTCTTGAAGTTGTTAGCAACACTCTACCTGGATTTATCACAAGTGGTAACACTTTGTTTGCTTGTGTCTCCAAGACTACTTGTTCATACAAGTCTTCGAGCCACGATGTGTCAAAGGATACCCGCGATTGTCTGGAGTGCACAATAGCCATAATCTTCAAAATCAAAAGTGCCGTTGAAGACTTTAATAAAATATCGTGATAAATTTTTTAATAAACAAAAAAAAAAGATATTACCATAGCATTTTGCTCAACAGTCACTAAACTCGCTGCTCTGTGCAATTGCAAAATTAGCGGAAGGCAATCTTCTATCTTTGCATAATTAAAGCAGAAATGAAACACAGTATTCTGGTGTATAAATCTGTACGGTGCTAATATATTTTTCTCTAACATTTCCACATGTCGTTTACAATCTACTGACAGCATATTCCTACAGCAAATTCCAAAAAACATAAATAAAAAACAAATATAATAAGACAATAATATTAAAATTAAAGATAAAAATAAGCTCTGTATCTTTAATGTTTGTGATAGATCTTTTTGTTTATGCATTTTGCATTTTTGTTTTTTTTTTTTTCTTTTTTTCATTTAGCTATTTATCAACACAAAACTTACTCAGTTGTATCTTTGCTCAATGTACACTGCTCTACAGATGTAACTTCCTTAAGTTGAATCTTGATTAATGGCTGATTTATATCTTTATTTACAAAGACCAATGATTTGGAACATAGTTTTAAGCGTCCATCCATCCATTGCTTATTTCCAGGATTTGGACAATCTACCTTTCTCATTTGCACGCTATAATCTTCAAAAAATATTTCTCCCGGTTCCAAAAGGAGCATAGTAAATCTGCAAACACAGTTTACTCAACAATAAAAATTGAGATGTACAATCATATTTATAAGGTATATTTTACACTAAATTAATACAATCAAAAAAAATAAATTTATTTATAAAATTTAAATGCAAAACTACACACACACACATACCTTTCCTTCTCCATTGTTAAATATGTATAAATAACTGATTCATATATTAAAAAAGATATAATTACTATGTTGAATTGATCAATAGATATTGAAATAAATTTAAGCAGATTTGGTTTTTAACAACTAACAGGTTCTTGAAGTATTTATCCATACGCCACTCTGCAGACTAATAAGATAAATATTTACTTTCCTGCAATCTGTTTAGATTTGGAAATAAACTTGTGTTTATTTGATTCCTCTTTACACATTGATGAAGATTGATTAGTACAAAGTGTCGCTCGGCACCAAAGAAATAATTATTAATAAAAAAAAATGCGATTTAGAGGTTAGAAATTAGTTATTCGTTTGATGTTGTCTCTGTACCGCTAGTTTGAGATTAGAGAGAGTTGGTTAGATTATCTAGGGTATTTCATCGTACGGGTATTATTTTTTTGCTGTCCATACACTTCCTTGTGCCAGAGAGAAGCCTGAGAGCGGCCAGGTTCATAAGAGAATGTATAATCACTTTTCTGCCCCGTAAACTAGCGCATTGTTCACGAGTGGTACACATTGGAACTACGCAGCCAGTCCACGAGCGACATGTCGGTGCGCTATGTCCACAGCGTGCGGTTCTATTATGTGCTAAGTGCACGAGTTTAAATGGTCACTTTCTTTAAGTGTGTGAGTATATTCGAGAGCGTGAATTTAATTTTTTTTAAAATTTAAAATGACCGATCTCGTGATGAGAAGATGAAAAAAGAAAATAGAAAAGGATAAGAAAAAACATTGCAACTTTTCGTACAACATAAATGTGATATACAAGAAAAGATGTGATAGTCAAGAAAAGAATCTTATTTTAGCGAGCAACATCAGAATTCGTGGAGTGTAGTCAAANATCATCTCCTTTTACATCATCATTTGCTGCTCTGTGGTTTATAAATTTTATTTTATTTTCTTAAAAATACTACATATATATATATACAAAATACACAAAAAACCATGTATATTATACAAAAGTGTTTTAACGGTACACAAATATAATGTCTGAAAAGTTGCAATTCCAAGAAATATAGCTTTTGCTTTTTTATTTAAAACTCTTTATCAGTGTGTTTTCTATTTCCAAGTTTCATTTTACAATTTTTTTATATATTACAATAGAATACAATTCCATTACACATTTATTACATACAACATACAATATAATACAATATAATACAATATTATATAAAATAATATAAATAGTTATATAATCCTACCTACCTACCTACCTATCTTAGACATATCTTAAACGTTACTAGCGTTANTAATTAGGATTAAGGCTGCATAACAACCTTGATCCTAATTTGACATTTTGATTTCTTCCTACTTATTCGGTTTACCATATTTCCTACCTACCCGGCCTAATATATTTTCTACAAGCGCTTGTAGATACGCATCCCTACCTACACAGATACCTATTTACCTACTTACTTTGGAAAGTTTTAAAATCTATCAAATATTTTACGCGAGGGACAGTTGTGTTTTAAAATTAAAAAATATTATTTTAAATTTATTTTACTTTCGCGATCGAGTTTTTATATTTTATGATTTAAAGAGAGTATATCCACCCACCCGATAAAAGCGTACCATATGTAAATAGATGAGATAGAATAAAAGAAAAGAAAAAATATATATTTAAATACATATATTTCAAATATATATTTAAATATATATTTTTGCAAAAATAAACTAGAAGAGAATAAATGTAGAGAATAAATATAAGGAGCATAAGCCTCCAAAAAACTATTCTATATCGGTTCTTTAAGAGAAAGTGATATAGAAATATGAAAGTAGAAAATATAGATAAATATATATAAAAAAAATAAAAAAAGCACATATATATAGAAAAAATTCTATATCGGTTCTTTAAGAGAAAGTGATATAGAAATATGAAAGTAGATGTACAAAATATAGATAAATATATATTAAAAAAAAAATAAAAGCACATATATACAAAATATTATATACAAATATATAGACATTTTATCGAAAAAGAATATATCGTCACTCTCTGCGTATAATTACATAAGTGTTACATACCGGATTTTCAGTTTATTGCACAGTAACAAGTTAAAAAAGTCATGTTCTTTATGGTCACCAAATATTAAAAAAAATATTTATAAGTAAAAATTTGAAACCGAAAGATCCCTTAACTAGGGAAACTATATGAAACTTTAAACTTTTAAACTATTCTTCTCTAAAATTTGCGTTTTGGAATTACAGGATTATACGGAGTGACAATATATTGAAAAATCAGTGCGATTACTACTCATGCAGAATAATTTATTCTTCTCAAAAATTTTCATGGTAGAGATATGAAACATAATCGCGCGATTATTTAATTCTAAATTATTATTTTTCCTTTATATATGCTCAAATTCTATATCCAGTTATACATAATAATTTTATATGAGATTGAGAAGATCTCATATATCATTGTATCTAATTAAACATAATCAGATATAGGATATGTCCATATATGAAGGATTTTTTTTCCAGACTATTATAAAAGAAATAAGTTTCAGAATAATTTAATTAACTTGCTATATTTAAAATTTATTAGGCATATACCTCTAAAAACTGTAATTTGCTTGTGTGTAAATTATAATACAAATTTAAAGATAATATATATATATATAAGCAATCTTTCTAAAAGTGAATTGCTTCTTATGTGAGAAGAATAAATTATTAAAAAAATACAACGTACCGTTGCGCGTAGTCCTTCGCCGTCCATCGATGTATCTTCAACTCCAGTCCCACGTAGCAATCAGGAACCTACCTTTACTG